CACATTCACACACTGGTGGAGGCAGCTACAGTTGTAGCCACAGCTGCCCTGAAGAAGTAACTATATAATTAATTTCCCAACACTGGTTATTATAAACTGTATTTTGCAGACAGAGTTACAGACTCTCTCCCAGACCACAGACTCATAATACAAGTCAGAGCTTTATAAAAGAAAAAAAGAAAAGAAAGAAAAAAAATGTGTTTTCAAAATTGGAATTTAAGTTATTTTTACTTCCAATAGTGTTTACATATTTTTTTTCATTGTAAGTGGGCTAAAGCATAAACATAAATGTAAATGCTGTAATTTGATTATTTTAGTGAACCATGTAACTTGGATGGATTCGATGCTGGCCTGACGACAGTGCACACCTCTGATGTTGCTCACCGTGGTCCAAGGGATCGCTCAGAGAGTTTGTGTGTTTTCTCAGACACATGAAAAATTAGAGGGAACATTGGTTGGTGCCAACCTGCAATAGAAATATGAGATTAACTAAATATTTAGAATTGTGTGATTTGAAATGTAAATAGATGCTGTGTTACTGTAGGTGGCAATATGTCATGATATTGTATATATTATATGTTTGTTACGTCTCCTCGAGGGCAGGAGGGGATAACACAACAACTCCGGAAACTCGGTACAGGTGTTATGAAAAAGGTTTAATGGCGGCGCTCTCACAAAATAAATAACCTAGATTCAAACAACAAATGTGGGGGAGAAAGGGACAGTTAGGTTGTGCCAAAAAAAACCCACCAAAAAGACAAAACCAAAACTTAGCTGAGCTATTATCCTAGAAAAGCAACAAACAGGAGAGAAAGACCATAGACCTCAACTTAAAACAAGCTCAAAATTACATGGGTGGCACCAACCTACTTACCTAGTGTTTCTAACACAAAGACTATGGGGTCCCCAAACTTACCTAGACCACTTTACTCCCACCACAATCATCAAACAAAAGCCAGCCTGCAGAGAACCGTGACACATGTCCCAAACACTTCAAAGGCAGGAAGAGAGCCACACCCAGCCACAGGTGAGTCTCCTTATCAAGGTGTGCACTCCTGGATTGTCCAATCAGGGCATCCCTCCTCTAATTAGTTGGACGTCCCCAGATTGACATCAGTCTCTATATTGATACAAAAATGTGACACAACAATTTCAGATAGAAAATAGTGTGAGTGGTGAGAGAAAGATTTGTGTGTGTGTGTATTGTTGAGAATGTTCAGAAAAATGGGCAATTATAGATTAGACAAAAATGGACAACAGTTATTCACAGTTATAGTTTAATGACTTTTCAAATGTCGAGTGTTTATATGAAAAGAATTGTAATAAAGAGTTGGAAATACATACATACAACAGTCTCGAGTTTATTACATA